TGTGAACCAGCATACTGGATTGCAATAATGCACAGGACTCACCGGACAAGCCCTCATCCTACAAGTGCTCGGGGCTGCGTTGTCAACTGCCACCCGTCCGGGATGAGCAACTTCCGTTTACGTCTCGCCGACTGGGGAGCCAACCAGGTGCCCAGCCAGCACAGAGGAGGAACGGCTCAGAGACCTGCAATGAGGAGAAGAAGTCCTGGATAGGGTTTACCTGCTACCCTCCCGTCCCGCCCCAGGGAGCGCCTGCTTGTCTCTAAAGCCTCCCGCCGTGTGGCCCCTGCATCCTGTGCTCCCGAGGTGCAGACGGCCCCACCCAAAGGACTACGACTCCTCCCGTCCCTGCGTGCAGTCCTCCCCGCCGACCATGCCTGGGGGTCATGACCCTGTCCCCTTCTGACCCCCCCCGATGTGGACCTGTCCCCGAACTGGACCCCCCTAATTCTGCGCCCCAGCAACTGATCACCTACGCAAAAGGATCTCCCTCCCCCACCTGGGCGGGCCCCCCGGCTCACAGAACCCCCCTCTACCCGACCCTCCCGCCTAGCCACTGCCTGATCAGTCCCCCCACCCTCCCTAAGAGACCCTGACTGCCCCACGGGCCCAGGCCTACCCCTAATCCCAGAGGAGGTCCCCCCTCTAGTCTGGCCGGGCCTAGAGACCCCTTTTCCTAGAGACCCCCTTTTCCTCGCTGCCCGCCCCCTATGCAACACCCCTGAGCTACCTTGTGCCCCCCCAAAAGTCCCCCTCCCTCTGCAACCCCGGAGGGGCCGTTCCCCCCCCACCTCCCCTTGCCCACTACCCCCAGGCAAATCGCTCTCCTCCCCCTGCATGCCATGAGGGCCCCAGAGGCCTGCCAGTCGGCCTCACGACTCCGGCCCCGCCGACTGTGTCCACAGATTGAGGGGGCGCCCTCCGGAGCCACGACCCCGCGCCATTCATCACTCCAGGGGGCCGTCTGATGGGTGCCGCAGCCCCCGCTCCCGGTGCAGCCGCCTCTGACCTTGGAGCCGCACCACCGCCGTCCCGGGAAGCCGCCCGCCGACCAGAACGTCCCGAGGCCCCGGTAGCACGCTGGGAGGCGGGGCCTCGACCAAGCGGCCACCGGGCCTGCTGCGGCCTTCTCCCGCTGCCATGCAGCCTCCGGCTCCATCTTCCCCGGGCCCCGCACCAGGGCTCAGTCTCCTCGGTGGCCACCTGGCCCGCACTGGACGACCCCTGTCACCCTCCTGGGCCGCCATCCCCGCCAGGGCCGGTCTGAGTTGGGCCCGCAGCCAGTCTGCTGTACGACCTTGCGCAGCCGACCGGATCCCGTCCAGCAGCCTCTCCACGTCGTCCATGGCCCTGCAGCAACGAAAAAGAAAAAACCCTACCAAACCCAATCCGCATACACAGGAATGTGCATAAACTCGGTCAGATAGGAAATTAGAAGTGAATTCACTTAAAATGGCTGCCTATTTAAATATCCCAGCCCACTTACCCATAACTTCTTTACTTCCTTTCCTCCTCTTATGCCCGCCTCCTAACTCCTGTCAAGGCTCTTTTTCGCTTAGTTGCGCTTTGGCTACATGGAGCTACATTGCTGCTTGACACTGCAGTTCAATAAAATGCTGATCTAAGCCTTAGAGGGCTTGGACCTTTTTCTTTCTTCAGTGACTACACATGTATTTAATATTCTTACATTTTAGCAATATATTAAATAACTGCTAAAGTTTGTAAGGGAGTGCTTGGTCTGCACCTCCTGCATTCATCAACGAGTTAGAATACTGCCGCTGGTTTACCATGGCAACCCTCTGGCTCTTTAAATGACCACTAAACAGATGGAGTGTGTACGGTGATCTGCACCTGTTGGAGGTGCAAACCACATGTTCCTCCACTGGACGATCAAGGTTCCTGCCAGCAGCACCCCCAGGACCACCATAGATTATACCCCACTCCCTGCATAGAGGCAAGCACAGGGGCCTTCATTGATTCTTATACCAGGGCCCTGTAGTTTATAGTTACACCACTGGCCATTGGAACCTCTGAACCATGAGTTCTTTTTAATAAGAGATAGTGAGTAGCTCTAGGTTCTCTGGCTGTGAAATAAATTGTGGGAGAAAGTGTGAAAGGAGTGAACTAGGGTCCGGGAAGGCAGACACTTAAAAGTAAAATGTGCAATGTACCCTCAATATATCATATTTAATATCCCCAATATTTCTGGAACAGGTGATTGAAAAAGGTGCAGAACATATACATTTTCAGATTTTCAACCAACAAAATATGAGTTGTGGTTTTGTAATTATTTCATATGCTAGCTATTATTTAAAATAAAGAATGTACTTTATACTTTCCACAGCACAGAAACCCCTTTTTTTCCTGCTTATCGCTCAGTAGTGAATGTAAGACACAATAGTCGCCAAGCCATGATAGGAAGGGATGTAGTTATTGCAGCTGTGCCCTGCTCACTCCCTTTAAGACGGTAACAACTTGTAATTTATAGATGCAGAATTAGCTCACATGTTGTACTGTGGAAATGTTAACACAAGCATGCCTGATCCAAAGCTTTGTGCTACCAGAGACTTAGAATAGCTTAGCTTAACAAAACTGCATAACCCTGTGGGTGCGGACTGGCATTAACCGTAAGCTGTAAATGCCAGTCAGTAGCAGAGCTAAACAGAGAGCCCCACACCACCACTTTTTGTAGAGCACTTAAAGGGGCACAGTCAGCACCATAACCACCGCAGCATACTATGTGTGATTCCAGAAGTCTGCTAGTGCCATCTGATGGTAAATTGCAGAAGTATAAACTTCCACTTTCGCATATCAGCTCAGATCAGAAGCAGCTCAGGTCCTGACAGAGAGGTAAGTGTAAAATTGTTCTTAAATGGTTTAAGTTTACCATCGTACTAGCTAGGGAACTCTTGGCACTGTAACAAATACAGGGTGTTGCAATGGTTGTGATGCACAGACTCTCTGGTTAACAAGTATCCACAGCCATTTACATCACCATATTCCATGCCAATTATACCAAACGCTTCACAAGCCAACATTTACCCCCCATTAGATCCTCTCTTCCAGTTTACATTCCCACAGTCTCTTGAAAAATAACTCCCTTTAAACTTAGTATCATTTGTTCCCAAACTAGAGCCCTTTACTTACCATCAATTTACCATAACTCCCCAATTTCTCCTAACAAGGGATTCTCTCCAATAAGTTTCAATAGGGACTTTGGAGCCTTGCAGTCTTGAATAAAGGCTTATTTACTGTCTGCTACTCATAGCTTTGGGAGCGGGACACTATAGGCATCAAACCAACTTTAGCCTAATAAAGCAGTTTTGGTGTATAGATCATGCCCCTGCAGCCTCACTGCTCAATCCTCTGCCATTTAGGAGTTAAATCACTTTTGTTTCTATTTATGCAGCTCTAACTAAACCTCCCCTGCCTGTGACTGACTTCATTTTCAGACGTTAACTTGCTTTAGACATTTGTATCTCCTGCTCTGTTATTTGAACTTTAATCACACACAAGAGGCTCCTGAAGGGTCTAGCGAGCTTTAACAGAACAGGAGATAAGAAATTCTAAATTAAACATAATGTGCAATAATGGAAGTTTAACCATTAGATGTCTAATGCAGAGAGGTGTGACTAAGGCTGAATAAATAAGTTATTTAACTGCTAAATAGAAGAGAACTGAGAAGTGAGACTGCAGCGACATGATCTATACATCAAAAAGCTTTGTTAAGCTGAAGTTGTTTTGGTGACTATAGTGTCCTTTTGAAGGAACACTACAGTGTTACGAACAGAAAGCTGTATTGCTAGCACTATAGTGTCCCAATGCCCAACATATCCTGTGGTATCTGGCATCAAGACATTACCAGCAGATCCTGCTACCATCTTTTCCTCAGGTAAACAACGAACACATACCCAACCATCCCAATGATCTAAAAGAAAATGTGATTCATGAGACCAGGGAACCTTCGTCCATTGCTCCATGGTTCAGTCTGAGACTCACATTCCCACTGAAGGCACTTTCGAAGGTGGACAGGGGTTATCATGGGCACCCTGACTGGCACTCTACTCAGTGCAAACTGTGATGCACTGTGTGTTTTGACACATTTCTATCATGGCCAGCATTAGGTTTTTCAGAAATTTAGTAGCTCTTCTGTGTGGTTGGAGCAGATTGGTTAGCTTTCACTCCCCAGGCATCAATGAGCTTTGGGCACCCGTGACCCTGACACTGGTTGACCTTCCTTGCACCACTTTTAGTAGGTACTAACCACTGCGTACCAGGAACACCCCACAAGACTTGTCTTTAAGGAGATGCTCTGACCCAGTCTAGCCATCACCATTTGGCCCTTGTCATTGTCACTCAGATCTTTTCACCTGGCCTATTTTTCCTGCCTCCAACACATGAAATTCGATAACGGACTGTTCACTTGCTGCCTAATGTATCCCATCGCTCGACAGGTTCCATTGTAACTATATAACCAATGTTATTCATTTCATCTGTTATGTTGTGGCTGATAAGTGTATTTCCAACAGTGGTTTTTTTTATCTGTAACTTCATTATTTGGTAAATTTTTATTTATTTTTAAAGATTTTCTGTTCAACCAAAATTTTTATTGTTTCTTTCCATGAAATATCTATGCATATTGAACACAAAAATACATTTACAAACATTACTTCACAGGACACCCAAAATGCTGTTTTGTTTTTTTCATTTATCCAAATCACTGGGTAATAAAATTGTTAATCTGTACTTTACCAGACCATGTCTCTGTGTATTATATCAAAGCTACAAATTGGAGATTTTAAATTACTTTAAGCTCTCCGTGGATTATTAATAGGACACAACCTCCATGCAAATATCTTACAGGAGAGGACTCAAGGGTCATTATATATACTGCAGTAAGTCCGACATGTGGAACCTTCATCCAGAATCTCCTTTGTATCCACAGGTGATAATTCAGGGATATATTTTGAAAACTAAGCCTGGGTTCCTTTATCATGTGAGGCGGTTCTTGATAAATTCACTTTCTGTGGTGCCATAGTACACACATCCTGGGGAGCATCACATACCAAGAATGCGTTCACATAATTTCTTTCTTATTAGCAGTTAAAGGAAATCACAAAATACGTCAAATTCGTCTTCACCTTGCAATAGTCCTCTGCTAAATGGCAACACTTCCAGTATTCCTGGGCTGCAGTCGTTCCCATAACCACAGCAAGATGCAGTCTGGGGTTTAAAGTGTAGTGAGATGATTCAGTAATAAAACTGGACCACAGCTAATTAAAAAGTGTTCCTTTAAGTAATTTCAGGTTTTTATTTCTTTGTAAAAAAAATGTTTTATTTTTTCTTTCCTGTATCATATTTTCAGTACACCCTGGAAAACATCCTGCAAGTCCCATAATATGTATATAAGTAATTGCAGTTATTACAGTCATTTACACGGAAGCAATGACCTTCGTGTAACTAAATGGGGCATTAAAGGAACAGTTATGACTACCCCTGAACAGTTACTTAATAAATAATGATGTTTATTCTACTTTTTAAATAGATGGCACTGGTTTTTATTTAGTCTTGTGTATGCTATCAGTTCAGGACTGACGTGATGTGTAAAAGTTGACATGTTGTGTCAGGTTCGTCCTACTCCGTGACTCCCTTTTCGCCTGCACTTCGTCTCTGGGCAGCCAAGGGATTGTGCCTGGCTGCCCCCTGTCCTCCTACCTTGCTAGCCTACCCAGTGCCTCTGCCGATCGCGACCCGGAACTCTCCTCATCTTGTAACTATCTCTGACTCTACTCTGTCTTACATCACACTATTCTTCTATCACCTCTCTATACTTCTCCCATTCACAATGGGACTTGTAATACACACTGTGTACTTTATTAATATTTCACACTGAAACACGTATACCAGAAAGAAAAATGAAACAGAAAAATCCTCATAAGGCGAGTCCAAAATAAACGCAGTGACATACGTATTCATTGCACTATTGTCAATATGTATTGCCAGTAAAATAATGCATCTTCCGACTTGGCCTACTGCCACTTGAAACTCCGCTGGGCTTGGTTACATCAGCAAATAGACACGTACGATTGTACGTACCTGAAGAATAGACCCAACCTCAATAACCGCTGCCAAACGTCTCAACTTCTAAAGTTACAGGTATGCATATAACAATTAAGTTGCATTAACTGCGCAATCAAAGTATTGTCAAAATGTATCATACTTATGTTACTGAAGACTGGATTGTTCTACTTGATGACCTTGCCAAGATCGGCAAAAAATAAAGAATGAAAAAAAACAAAAACAGTTGACGTGTTTTTAGATTTACCCCAAATTCTCACATTACGTAGACCTTTGTCACGGTCATACTGAATGAGTAAGTGAACGTGCAGGTTTTCCATAGTCCCACAGAATATATTCAGACATGGGAATCTGTGGAACTCTGTGTTATCTTTGGGCTTGGGTTACAGTAAAGAGGCCATCAGATTCAGGGGCAAAAGATGAATGGCAAGGTACAATTCAGTGCCAAATGTAAGTGCGATTAACTGAAAGATGACCCTGTGTTCCTAGAGGTCCACCTTGTCTTTTTGCAAACTTGTCTTTTAGATCAAAAAATAGATTAGTCTGCTATCTGCAAAAACAAGGAACTTTTTTTGTATGGTTTCTTAGGAATAATATGTACATTGCAGTAGAGAAGTGGCCCCAAAAGAGAACCATGTATTGTAACTAGTGAGGTAATCCGGAAATAACATAATACAATTTTATACAATGTATAGACATAGAGAACAGCAAAATGGGAAAGCTATAAAACGCCATACAAATGAAAAAATATACTATCCAAAGTATATGGTTAAAGGACCACTATAGTGCCAGGAAAACATACTCGTTTTCCTGGCACTATAGTGCCCTGAGGGTGCCGCCACCCTCAGGGACCCCCTCCCGCCCGGCTCTGGAAAGGGGTAAAAACTTACCTTTTTCCAGCGCTGGGCGGAGAGCTCTCCTCCTCCTCTCCTCCTCCGTTACGCCCCGCCGGCTGAATGCGCACGTGCGGCAACAGCTGCGCGCGCATTCAGCCGGTCTCATAGGAAAGCATTTACAATGCTTTCCTATGGACGCTGGCGTGCTCTCACTGTGAAAATCACAGTGAGAAGCACGCAAGCGCTTCTAGTGGCTGTCAATGAGACAGCCACTAGAGGATTAGGGGGAAGGCTTAACCCATTCATAAACATAGCAGTTTCTCTGAAACTGCTATGTTTATTAAAAAATGGGTTAACCCTAGATGGACCTGGCACCCAGACCACTTCATTAAGCTGAAGTGGTCTGGGTGCCTAGAGTGGTCCTTTAACCACAATGGGAACTTTCAAAAGGTCCATTCAAAACCGGGGAGAATTTGGCTGCAAAGGGTTGATGCAGTCCTAAAAGGGATAGTAATATAGTTTGAAATATATATATTGAAGTCCATCAACACTGACTGGTGGGTGGAATAAGAGAAAATCGGAGAGGTGAGACTTTATGTAGTTGTTCTGCTGAGTATAGTTAGTTCCTGCAGGCATTTTCATGTAAGCATAGTATTTTCAGAGAAAAGGAAGTGTTTACATTGCTCCCTAGGGACACCTCAAGTGACAGTCACTCAGACAGCCACTAGAGGTGCTTCCAACGTCAGTGCTGCACAGCGTGCATTCTGTAAATTAAAGGGACATGCATCACTTGACAATTGTTTGAAACCAGCAAGCAAATAAACCAAAATAAAGAAAAACCTCGAAAAGTATGTAATAACATTTATACAGTTACTATAAACTTGGTCAAATTGCATTATAGGGCACACCTCTAGGCTAGAGGAGTTTTTGTTAGCCTCGTTCTCCCTCTTACGCACCCATTAATCCATTCCAGACCAACCCACTTATGACAGAAAAAGGACATCATTGTTCAGCAGCAAGCGTCTCAGTCTCCCTGCACTGTGGAGAGAGAAACCAGACACCGGAGACTGTTCTGCATTAATCACACTGATCAGACTCCCTTTTTTTTCTCCCCGTCAGAATGTTGCAAGGTGAAGAGATCTTCCAGCTGCACATGTGTGAATCTGTCAGGCATGCCCAATGCACTCTTCCAGCATTCCTGAGGATTGGAAACTGATTGGTTAGATCAGAGTCCTCCCCACAGGGGGTGTGGGAAGAAAAAGAAAGAAGAATCAGGTGATTATTGCATTCTGTTTTCAGCCTGCAGAGTGAGAGAAATGCCTCATTCAGAGCTATAGCTTTTGAATGAGACAAATGTCAAAAAGTGATGTATGTCCATTTAATAGTCCTTGATGCAAAACTAATTTGTGGTTAGTTTTTCCCAGTTTGGAGGTCCAAGCAATCTCGTTACGGAGTCTGCACCCAGGTGCGTACATGCTACATCAAGTGTAGTCCTTAGGAGGACAACCAGAGCCAGCCTGATTCACTATCTGAGGTCCATTTGCCAGCTGAACCCCTGCTGAATAGAGATGGACAAATGTAATACTGTATAAAGCCAATAGCAGAGTGGAATTCAAGCCTCAAAAGTGGATACAGTCAAAAGACACATTCCAGCAGCACAGGTATGAGTGTGAATGGAACTTGGGAGAAGAGCTTACATATGGCCGAAAATGTGTAAAACGGAAACACAAATCCAATTTCTTTAAACCACTACGTAGAGGAAAGACAGGAAATAAAACCACTGTCTAAATATATTGCTTTATTTCACCTTCCAAATCATCCAAACATATATTTTGCCAGTAGATCACTATGCTCCCCTGTGCACGGACAGAGCTATACATTTTCCATAACTGCCGCCATGCTGGTACGTTGTACATCGCACAAGATGAAGCCCAGCATTACAGTGACACAACAATAAAAATTAAAATTTTAAATCAAAAATGTACTATGTGGTGTGGTTTTCTTTTTTATAGCGTCCTTGAGTACTACAGAACACAACATGTTTGTAGATTCCAATCTCTGGCTTAAATCCAATTCCAAGTCACCTGTTAAAAAAATAAATTAAAAAAAGAATAAATTAAACCAGTAAGACATGGCAGAGGTATCCCTGTGTTAAATCAAATTCACACCCACAACACCTGAAAGGTTTCAAGTCACAGGTTAGGAACCAAAGGTTGTCCATACTAGGCATAGCCAAAAGAGTGATTCTCAGCTCCCATGATTAATTGTCAATATCGCAGCTGGCAAAGCATCATGGGGATGCCGTTTTTAGCCATCACCATCCTTTGGGCGTTAAAGGGATAGTAAAGCCAATATTTATCATTTTTTTTATAAACCAAGACCCAATTGCCAATGATTTTCATGTCACTATACGTTCCTGAGAGAAATCCCATATAGTAGTTGGCAAATTAAAAAATAATTGAGAAATTTATAAGCCACAAAGTAACACTACAGATAACAAAACCGAAAAAAAACACCCCAACCTCTTGTGGTGTCTGATTAAAAGAAGAAAGCTTCCTGATTTATTTATTTTTTACCCCAATCTGAAACTGATGCAATTGCCTAAACTAAACCAAATCCAGCGCAAACTAATATTATGATTTTATTACTTCAAACAGTCAGAAGTTTGTTTTCTCTTGCTAAAGTTTTTTTTTTCCCCCCTAAAAGATACATCAGAATTCTCTCACATATCCTGATCTTACCTCTCTTTTCTCACACCTCATAATAGAAAAGGGCGTGAGTAGAATAAATTGATTGGGGAGGAATAATTACAAAAATAAGACAACGTGATGGTCGCCAAATGGTGAAGATAGAAAAGGCTGAGTGTTTTTTTTTGTTTTTGTTTTTTAAAATCTCTGGATTATGTTCTAGATTATAATGTCTCTTTAGTACTCTTGGAATACCAAAGACGTGATGTGCTAATACCTCTGGTACCCAAGTGATTTATACAGTAGAGGAATTTATATTCTACTCATCCCTGCTATCATTCTATACATGTTTGTAGGTGAGCTATGTTTCATAGTAGTGAGACAGATTGTACCCTTTGATGTTAGACTGGTATAAAATATAAACCTCAGAGGCAGATGAAAAAAATATTTGTTGGGCAGATACCACCTTCTCATGATAATCTGAGTAAGCTCCCTGTTATGAGAGTGCTAAAAGCAGTTTCTGTAAGCCCAAAAGGTAGATCCCCAGATGTTGTAGAACTACAGCTTCCATGATGCTTCACATGCCTTAAGAATGCTTTTAGAATGACAAAGCATCGTCAAAGTTGTAGTTTTAAAACATCTAGGGATCCACCTTTTGGGCACCCCTGCTGTAAGCCGTAAGTCTGGTCATCTATTTCGGGACACTGAGTGGAGTATAAAAGGGAAATTGGGGGCACACTCGGAACATGCATTTCTCAGAATTGGTCAAAATACAAAAAAATAAATATCAAAAATACAGTTTTAAGCTGAATGGAGGATAGGTCTACATAGAGTCCGGGGCTATAACTAGGCATTAATACATAGCCCATATGACTCAGACGGCCTCCGTGCCCAGCTTCTATCCCACCTATAACTGGAGCACGAGACCTAAGGTGCCAAGGGTGTAGATCTCATTTTAATACCGGTCTTTGGCATATTCTACAAGACAGACCATAAAAGAAAGAGCTGTACTCCCAGGGCATAGATCCCCTGCCCCTCTTTAATATGCAATCAGAGGAGCAGGTAAGTGGCCCTCACAATTACTCACTCATATCACCCCCCCCCCCTCCACATATCACTGTCTGGGTGTTCTCACATCAAGTACAAACTTACCTGCCATCAACCAACAGAATCCTTACTGAGGCACTAGGAAAACCAAGAGAAAAAACAACATATTACAAAAAAACATAATATTCAGACACACTTTAGTTTCACAGTTTGTTGTAGGTTTTGAGAAACAGGATTGGCAGCCTGATGCTATGTTCCACAGAAAGAACAAGCCAGTTGAACTATATCTGCTTTGCATTTACATAAAACTATGGCAAAGTCCTCCACAGCTAAACTCGAAATGTCTATTTGGAATATTTGACATATGTTTGTGACCTGAGAAAATGATGGACACTTATCAATGAGAACAAGTACTTTAACAAGAAACAAATAGCGGAAAAACCTTAAGGGATCATATAAAGGGTTTTATTTACCAGACATTTGTTTGGAGTGAGTTAATAATGGGGGGGAAAATAAGGCCTTAAATAACGCAACTCACAGATTAGTGAATAAGCCCCAATATCATATAGATTTGTTTTAAGTAACGATTGGGAATAAATTTGGCAAATTACAGGTCACCGCATTTGCTCACTCACCTCGGACCTCCAAACGGCACTCTGTCTCGGCTTCTCCATGCTCATTCACTGCTTTACATGTGTAGACACCACCATCAAATGGGCTAGGCTTCCTCAACTCCAATGTAAGTACTCCCTGCTTACTGAATGAGCGGTAACGAGGTTCTTCTGAGAGGAGCATCTTGTTTTTGTACCAGAAAACCTTAGGCTGTGAAAGGGAGAAACACGACATGATAAAGGTTAACGTGACTGTCACTTGTTCAGACTGCGGTTTACAAACAGAGTACAGATACAAACAACTTTATGGTAAAACATCATAAAGGCCATTTCTTGAACTATTATCCACAGCTTTGTAAACAATGGGGTTATAGAGAGATCCAGATCCACTAGCGACATGGGGCTCATTTCACAATGGGATGTGTAGGGAGAGCAAAACCCTCCAGCAACATGTTCTACTACCCTAACCATACCATGACAGACTCCATGAAAGTAATCCTATCAAGACTGGCTCCGTTACCCAACCAAAACTGGATGTATTACCCTAACTCCATCAAGACAGGCTCTGTTACCCAACCAAAACTGGATGAATTACCCTAACTCCATCAAGACTGGCTCTGTTACCCAACCAAAACTGGATGTATTACCCTAACTCCATCAAGACAGGCTCTGTTACCCAACCAAAACTGGACGTATTACCCTAACTCCATCAAGACAGGCTCAGTTACCATACTCCACCAAGACTGACGGTGTTACACTAACTCCTCCAAGACTGACTCCATTGTCCTAACTTCTTACTCAACATCAAGTTACCCTAACTCCACTTAGACATGCTCCAGAACACTTACCCCACCAAGACTCACTCCGTTTACCCTTACCTGACAAAGACTGGCTCAATTTACCAATACCTCACTAAGACTAACTCAATTTATTGTAGCTAAAACAAGAATGAATGTAATACCCTAAGTTCACCAAGCCTAAATATATTACCCTAATTCCACTAAGATGGGAGGTGTTACCCTAACTCCTTCAAGTCTAGCTCCAAAACCTAGCTCCACTACATCTGACTCCATTATCATAACTCCACCAAGACAAGCACCTAGATGTATCAAAACTCTGAGTCTGGCTCGAGTCTGGCTCCCTGACCCCAAGTCCTAACCCCACACTTTATGTCTCGTTATTTTCATATTTTTATTACTACATAGAAGGACAAAATGGGATACATCAGCATTTCACTTGGACAGCTGTGAAGTTTACATTGAGCTACTCTTGCTCTTTATGTGTGTGTGCAGTTAACTAGTCCTGTTACAGTGTGATAGGACCATGTGTGCGGTTGAATATCATACATTGCAATGTAATATGTAATCTCAATTCAAAACTTTCCAGAAACAAAATCAGTGTTCTGCCACCGAACCTAGCTAAAATATTGTGTCTGCAGTTTCTCTGGTGAATAAAAGAACATACAATTATAAAAGTAAAACAATTAATTACAATATCATAATTTATAATGTATCTTAGAAAAGTACAAAGACAGGGCTATTTATTAAAGTGTATATTGCTGGGAATTCAAAGTGTATTTTAAATTTAAACCCACAGTAGCCTAACTGGAAGCATATTTGACTTTGGCTAGTTTTGCTGTTTTGACCTTAAAATGATTTATTTACTAAATCATTCTAAGTGAATTTCAAATTTAAGTGCTAAAATGTAAACCACTTGGGGGCAGTGCTGAGTTATTCTGAATGAGTCTTTTTTCAGTGGGTACAGGAGGTACGGTGAATGCATTTGAAATTATCTGTAAACAGTATGTCACAGGGCCTATGGCTGGCTTGGTCTGAGCAGGTCAACAACATCTCGACTCCTTCGTGAATAGGAGATAGGTGATACCATGACAGGCATGGCTAGTCTTGCTCTTATAAATTATGTAAAATCATATGTAAGCATTTTAACAGACACCGGATTTCAAGTTCCCAACCTTGTACAATAAAGATTTGAAATATCATTTTAGAATATATCCAGGATATATCCAGTATAAGCACACAGTCTATGTGGGTACACACATTTACACACAACAAACACATTGTAGCAAATACCTTAGGTGACCCTCGCAGTGCGCAGCTGAGGGTTGCATTGTACCCGGCCAC